AAAGAGTGAAATGATGTAATTTCCCTCCCCATGGGTTGCATACAGTTGAAACAAAAAAGCCACTGGTTTCCTTACTTCATAGGTACAGAAACTCTCAGACAGGAAAACAAAACAAAACAAAACAAACAAACAAACAAAAAAAAAAAACCAAAACAAAAAAAGCTCCATAATGCTGAGGATCAGGGTGCAGTTCCTTGCATCCATGCAGCAGCTCACAACACTAGAGTCCCTGGGGTTCCAATGCTCTCTTCTGGCTTCTAGGCTACCAGACATATATACATACGAATAACAATAAAATAAGAAACAAATACATATGTCCTAACAATGGAGACAAATTAATTCAAGTGAAGAAAGGCTATAGAGTAGCAATTTGACCATTGGAGCAGAATTGAGTGAGATAGGATAGAAAGATAGGATTAAGCTTGAAGCTAGATAAAGGAAGAGTCTCAGAGGAAGGGAAGATGCTGTTATGGCCTCTTTTTTAAAAGTATCTATTTACTTATTACATATATAGTGTTCTGCCTGCATGTATGCCTGCAAGCCAGAAGAGGGCACCAGATCTCATTACAAATGGTTATAAGACACCATGTGGCTGCTGGGAAATGAACTCAGGACCTCTAGAAGAATAGCCAGTGATCTTAACTCCTGAGCCATCTCTCCAGTCCCTATGGGGGCCTCTTAAAGGTGCCTCTCATCGTTTCTCACACTTGGTCCTACAGGGGATTCTGAAGTCCTGGGAGATGGGGGGAGGTGCTAGTCCTGTTTCAGGAAGTCTGGGTGGGGCCCAAGATTCTACATTTCTAGTGAGTTTCCAGGTGATGCCAGTGTTACAGTTCAAGAAGCATATTGGATCAGATCGATACAGGTCAGTAGCTACACCCATTTCTCCCAGACATCTCTATGCCCCAGGAGACTATGGGAGTTGGGGGGTGGGGAGAGACAAAGTGGAATTGCTCTGTTAATAAATAGCATTTCATGCACAAATATGTTTGAGCATCAGACAGAAAGCATAGGGGTTTGGAATTTGTTTTTAAGAGTTATGTTATTTATTTAAAATTTGAATCAGTGTTTTGCCCGAATGTGTGTTTGTGCACAAGGTTGTCAGATCTTGGAGTTACAGACAGTTGTTAGCTGCCATGTGGGTGCTGGGACTTGAACCTAGGTCCTTTGGAAGAGAAGTCAGTGCTCCTAACCACTGAGCTATCTCTCTAGCCCAGAAATTTGGAATTTTATTAGCTAGAGATTAATGAGTGTTATGTATCTATTCAAAAGGTAGGGAGTCGTCCTTGTAAAGGTGCTGATCCTATCGCCGGGATAATGGAATGCATTTCTCAGTTTGTGCAATCAATGAGCAAGAAAGATGTCTTCTCAGAAATGTGCTTGATTAAAGAGTAATAGCCTAAAGATAAGAGCTGTAAGGCAGATGTTTTAATTTAGTTGCCTGGTGTGCGTATTCAATGTAAATAGACTCATAAACATCACACACAGGTTAGCTTGACAGAGTGAAATAAATTGAATTCCCTCCTGGCTTTCCATGCTCCCCAGGCAAGTGTTAAAACGAATTCTTTTTCTTTTAATCTAGGTTATTTAAGAGTATGTATCAAGAGCAGAATGTGAAAGCTTCTTTTGGCTAGGCAAGCACTATAATAACCTTTAAGGTGTTTAAACACAGCAGCAGGAAGTGGTGCCTCTCTAGCGTTTCTGTTGAATGATTTCAAGTTTGGGAGACAAAACCAAAAAGGAAAAGGAAGAAAAGGCGACCTGGTAGGGTGCCCCAAGGGCTAAAGATCCACACTATTTACAGGGAAGAATGGGACAACACTTCATTTTAGTTGGGAGACTGGCACATAATTATCCTGTGTCCACAGGTCTACAGAACAGGACTCTTTTCTTCTGAAATATGCATTTTTATTAATTTTTTTTAATGAGGTAGGTTAGTTTTTTTGGTTTTGGTTTTTCAAGATAGGGTTTCAGTATGTAGCCTTGGCTGTCTTGGAACTCTTCTAGACCAAGATTCACAGAGACCCTGCCTCTGCCTCCCTGGGATTAAAATCAAACTTGACCACTACTCCCTGGCTGAGATGGATTAGTTTTAAACCCTATTAAATCTCTTTCAGCATTTGGGTCTTAAGTTTTACCCCCTACCCTTACTGGAAAATGCCATCTTTTGCTATTGCCAGTTTTCCATTTGAGACTATAATAAATTACAATCTAGCTGTCCTGGAAGGGAAAAGATAGTCTAAAGATGCAGGAACCCCTCCCTTCAGCCATCAGACTTTAAGGCAGTGAATTCCAGAGAGTTAAAATTCCCCAGGAAATCCTTGATGGGAGAAGGGGAAAGCTGAGGGTCTGGTACCATGGAAGGGGCACCTCACCTACCAGGCAGGGATTTCTCACAGTTCTGACCACCTTACAAAACAGGGCAGAAAGTTGATGGTAGGTGAGACCACACCATAGCCAAGGTTTCTGAATCATGCATATTCCCTGCCCTCTATTTAAACCTGAACCTTACAGCAGGACACTAAAGACTGACTTGGGGGGTTGAGTCAGGACCACATGATTTCTTCCTTCCATTGTGGCCTCATGGAATAAACTTTCTCTGCTTCCCACTGTTGCTTTTGTCCAGCCGTTGGCTGGCATGCTGGGGCAGACAGGTAGACAGTCCTGGAATGTGGGAGTACCAGAACCCAAACCCTTCCCTAAAAAGTCCAGTAAGAGGACCACAAAATTGAGAGTTTATACAACACAGAGGTTGTCTTGCTCTTTTGAGCTTGGAAGATACACTAAAGGAGAGTTGCTGGCTGACCCGCGTCCCCATCTGCTCTGGGTACCTCCATTTCCTTGTCTTTTGCACCTGAATTCTCCTCTGGGGCTCCTTCCCCGACCTTCAAACTAGCACCCCTTCAGCCTTCCCCTTCCACTGCTGCTAAAAACAGAATCCTGGGAAGCCCTGAATCCTCATCACAGGGTAACTAAGAGTGGGTGTAAGGCTGGCTTTTTTGTCTGCCTTCTTTTTGCACCTGCCTTGTGAATTTTGCTTACTTCTGGACTTCAAGGGTATCTGTCTGAAATCTGAGGCTTCTAAAACTTTATCATCTCACCAGAGGCCAAAAGGCGTAAAGATAAGTGGGACAGGCACCTCCCTATCAGCTTTTACAGCATTCTGCTCTGGAGCCCCACCCGTGCCCTGAACCTGCACCTGTGCTGAGTCCAAGGAGCAACAGAGCCTCATAGGTCTGCTTATCCCGTGATGAGATCACACCCAAGCTGGGCCAGTCACCTCCTGGAACTGATTCTGCCCACCAAGCAATCTGAACATCTTCCAGCGACCTTGCACAACCAAAGGGGAGATAATGATCAACCTGATCAGGCTTTGGCAAGACTAACATAATCTGCCTGCCTCTTGCCTCCATCCCACCCTTTAAACAGGTCTCCCTGTGTTTAAACTTAAAGCTCTCGTCAGTACCCCAAAGATGAAGATGGACATGGGGTTATTGCCCCCCCCTTTGTACTTCCCAGTGTACGTGAAGTCTTTGTTCTCTGCCTTTGACGAGGGATCTTATCTTCTATTGGTACACTGGAGTGAAAGGTTCAGTCCAGTGTATCGTGCCTCCCAGGGCTAGGGCCTTTGCCCTAAAGCTGGTAATGTTGCTGTGATGAAATTGTACCCATCCAGATAATTCAGGATAACCTATTTGAAGCCCAGCTGAAGAGCTATTGCCATTCCTCTTTGTCATGTAATATGGCATATCCACAGGTTCCAGTGTTTAGAACGTGGAAGCGCGCGCGCGTGTGTGTGTGTGTGTGTGTGTGTGTGTAAAAGGGCCATGATCCTCCCTACCAGAGTATGTTTTATCATCTTAAACTTGCCTGTGAGAGCACTGTTGCATTTTTGGGTACAGAGACTTGCAAATCATCATTACCTCTAAATAACATTCTGTATAAATTAAATTATAAATTGTATTCATCATGGTAAAAAAAATGCTAACGTTCTCACAAAGCTGACTTGTATTGATTCTTATATATAATCTCAAACGCCTTGGAGGAGTGGATTCTTAAACTTTCCACTATTCCCAGTCATGACTTTTTTATTATTTGAGGCTATTACTAACTGCCCTGTATGGCTAAGTGGGCCCTGTCATGACTTATCCACAGTTTATTGAGATGAGTGGGGGCTACTGAGATAGCTTGCCACTGTGTTGCTCAAATGAGACAATGTTGCTTCCCCGCAGGACATGAGGCAATGTTTGCAGACATTTTTGGTTGCTACATTTGGGAAGAGAGTGCAATTGCTGTCTCCTGTGTAGAACCCCAGGGGAATGACTGTTGTGCAGCACACAACTGTAAGGAGTATAGTTTTTCCACCCCCTCCACCCCTGCTGGTCTGGTCCCACCGCTGTGCCAGCCCCAATTAACACACCGTGACTCTGTATTTGATATAATGCTGTTGGCCAGTTACTTGTTTCTTATCGGCTAGCTCTGTCTTAAGTATTAACCCATTTCTGTTAATCTATGTATTTCCACGTGGTCTCATCTTACCACTGGAGAGCCTGCTGGCATCCTGCTCTCTCCAGACTCTCCATCTTGACTCCTCCTTCCTACTTCCTCTTTCCTCCTTGTCTCCTAGTCCCTCCTCTCTTGCTTTCCTATTGGCCAACAGTGCTTTATTCATTAACCAGTATGAGAAACATATTTACAGAATGACATCTCCCATCACACAACAGCCCCACGGATGAAGAAGAACTGTGGAGACTGAGTTGTGGGTTGAGCTCCCGGTTCTTGTTTTGTTGTTTGTTTGTTTGGTTTGGTTTGGTTTTTGGTTTTTCGAGACAGGGTTTCTCTGTGGCTTTGGAGCCTGTCCTGGAACTAGCTCTGTAGACCAAACTGGTCTCGAACTCCCAGAGATGGCCTGCCTCTGCCTCCCGAGTGCTGTGATTAAAGGTGTGCGCCACCAATGCCTGGTGAGCTCCTGATTCTTATTGCTATTTTATTTTTTGCAGGAGTCCCTGGCGCCATGCCAAATGCATCCTGGACAGGCAACCTCAGAGCGATAAAGTGGATGGATATGGAAGATAAGCATGGAGGCTGCCATGGTAAGATCACTCGCTCTGAGGCCATACTGCCTGTTGCTGTTGGCACAAGGGTAATTGTAAACTTAATGGTGGGGATTCTTGCACAGAGAAAGCTGGAGTACACAGACTGATCTGTGGTTGTTAGAGAAGCCTGATGCCTCATTATGTTGTCTCCTGAAGATGTTTCCATTTCTCAGACATTCTTTTTTTGTTGTTGTTCCTGTTGTTTTGCTTTGTTTTTTTTTTTGTTTGTTTTGTTTTGTTTTGTTTTTTTTAAAGAAAGGGTTTTTGTGTTACAGCTCTGGATGTCCTGGAACTCACTCTGTAGACCAGGCTGGCCTCAAACTCATAGAGATCCACCTGCCTCTGCCTTGCAAGTGCTGGGATTAAAGGTGTGCACCACCACCGCCTGGTTTCTCAGACATTCTTAACCTCAGAACTGCCAAGGAGAGCGAGTACTTTTAAGTGAAAGTGGACTTTGTTCTTGCTAATTTCTGCTTTCTCGTGCCCCTTGCTTACTGTTCCTTTTGGGAGTGCAGGGGCTGGGGCAGTGATGTCACATCCTTGAGACAGAGCATACTCATGCCTCGCCCCCACATCTCTCTCTTCCCTGCACACACAGGCCAGGAGTGACCTGGAGAGCTGCAGGTGTTTGTGTTCACCCTGGGACATAGCAGGTGACATCAAGGAGAAAGGATTCTATCCAAAATAAACAAAAACTAGAGACTCTAAGTCATTGCCTTTTGCCGGGACTGGAATGAGACAGGATCTCGTGTAGCCCAGATTAACCCACAACTTTTTATGTAGAATTTTGGATTCTCCTGCCTCTATCTCCTGAGTGCTGGGATTTCGGAAATATGGCTCATTCTCCTCTAGTCATTGTCATTTCTATAGACCCTTATGATGAAGGGATTTCATCAGACATGGGCATCATCCACTCCCAGCTCCACCTACCACCTGGTGAGTGGGTGCATTTACCTGCTTTTGCCACGGTCTAACGCAGCACGGGTTGGATGACTTATATATCAGACATTGCCTCATTTTTCTCAAGACTGGAAATGTAAGATCACACATCATAGAGATGGCTCCTGTCTTGTCCTTTCTCCTGTGGCTCTGAAATGACCTCTTCTCCCTGTGTCCTCTTGTGTCTTTTCACTCTATCCTAATGTTCTCTCACAGAATCCCAGTCAGAAATGGGCATAGTGGCACATGCCTTTAGTCCCAGCACTTGAGAGGCAGAGAGAGGCAAGTGGTCATTGTGAGTTCAGGACAGCCAGAGAAGAGACAACACAAAGGCCCTCTGTCATTCCCATGCTTCTAGAATTTACCTGTAGCTCTCGTGTGCTCAGGCATGAGGTGCTTTAGGACACGGTTTTCATTATGTTCAATGGTCATCTCACTCAAGTGTGTATTTGTACCATTTGTCCTAAGCCGTTTAAGCTCCTGGTGGCCTAGGACAGCCCCGTCATGTTTCGTTGGCATCTCATCATACTTGATTAGGGGTCCACTTTCTCAAGTTCGCCACTTGTGACTTCTAAAGACAGGATGTCTAACTGTTTTTCTGCCCCCCCCCCCCAGGTCACTATGTACATGACATCTGCATCTATGGAAACGGAGACTTAAAGTGGCTAGTAAATTCACAAAGCCTATTTGCTAACAAATTTGAGCTCAACACGTACCCTCTCACTGTGGAATGCCTGGAACTGCGACTCCGAGAGAGAACTCTCAATCAGAGTGAAACAGCCATACATCCCAGCTGGTATTTTTGATCCTCAGCAGCTCTGGCCTGAAGGGAAACCAAAGGCATAAAGAGGAGCCTTTCTCTCCAAGAGACTCTTGTCCTGCTGTACTGAAGGCTTCAAAAACTGCTTTCAGGAAAATATCAGGACCTGGCTTCGTGACTAGGCTTAAAATATCCACTGGATACTGTGATACATTGACAGGATGGCTGGGTGCAGCTGTACTGCCATTTTTAGCTAGTCTTGCCATTTCTTTTTAGTGTTTTTTTTTTTCATCCTCTTCCTCCTCTTCTTACTTTATTTTATTTTTGGTTTTTCGAGACAGGTTTCTCTGTCCTGGAACTCATTCTGTAGACAAAGCCGGCCTTGGATTCACAAAGATCCGCCTGCACTCCCCCCCCCCCCCAGCATTTTTCTTCTTTTTTAAAAGACAGGCTCTTGCTTTATGTTCTGACTAGCCTGATTCTTGCTGGGTAGCCCAGGATGGCCTTGAACTCTCATCCATTCTCTCACCTCCCTTCACCCAAGTGCTGCCATTACAGGTGACAACCACACCTGGCTCTGATGTCTGGCAGTCACTTGGTGCTCATCTGCATCTTAGTCTGCTGCTGTGGTCAGTGCTAAATTTAATAAATGCATCGGTCCTCTGTGCCAGATACTCACGTTAGCATATGCTGTTCGAAAGGAGAATGGTGTGTAATACTGTCTTTAAAAAAATCAAAACCTGGTTTATTTGAGGAGGGAGCTTTTATACCATCTTTGTAGCAACTATGTACTCAGCCACACATAGGCATGGAAATAGCTTTCTAGTAACTCACCAATTTCATTTAATCAAGAACTGATCAGAGGTGGTGCTGCACACCTTTAACCCAGCGTTCTGGAGGCAGAGGCAGCCAGATCTCTGAGTTCTGGTCTATACAGCGAATTCTATCCAGGACAGCCAAGGGTACACAGAGAATCACTGTCTAGAAAAACAAAAACCAACCAAACAAAAGGAACTGATCATTAAGAGCTGAGGAACTGTATTGTTCAGTGTCTGAGCATTTGACTGGCATGTGCAGACCTGGGCTCCATCTCCAGCATCACAAACAGGCCTGTGGACCCTGCGGTTTTCAATTACTTGTGCCTGAAGTTGTGTGTGCAGTATAAAGCCATTAATGTGACAGAACATACGCTTAAGACAGGAGCCACTCTGTGGTTGCAGGAAGAGTACCTCAGGGATGCTGGGCATTTCCGTGTTCTGTTCCAGAATGTTCTCTTTTCCACTAAGAACACTGAAACATCCTCACAGGAATGAAGGAATTATTTCTTTCCCACAGGAAAGGTGCTATTACGTGGGTCTGGAACCTGTGGATAATTTACGTGTGGGGTTCCATTTCTGTATGAGAGATGGGGACCTGGCTCTGTTGTACACAGCATTAACCACACCAGGACAGCCTCCAGGTAGCTTGCAATGATTGGTGCTGACAGGAGATCCTGGATACTTAAGAGCTTTTGATTGTGGGTGGGCTTCTGTGTCATTTTTCAGTCATGTATCCATTGGTTCAGCCTGCTTCACTAAATGCCTCTTGAACATCTGTGATCCTCTGGGCACAGGTTGACACAAGAGGGAAACAAGACAGATGTTTTCTCCGCTATAAAACTGAGGAGTGGCATCAGCTTTTGAACCCCTGCTCTGAGTCTTACAAAATGGCTACACTGCACATGTGCCCCGGCCTGGCTATGTGTTACAGCAGGCCATAGGGATCCGTAATTATAGTCAGATTAATCCGGAGACTTCGAGAAAGGAGGAAACAAAAGTTAAAGCCTGTTGGTCTCATTTTGTTCAAAACTCACCTCTTCAAGGGTGACTTGAGTACCTGTGTCTTGCAGATGATGCAACAAGCCTTGGGATGCCTAATGATCTTTAGGAAGCAAATTCTAAGAATTTAGGCCGTCTTTCTGATCCTCTTAGCTCATTTTCCTAAGGCTGTTGAGAGAAGGCAAAATAAAGCCATACCTAATATCTCCTAAGAAGTCAGAGTTTAAGAACGAACTCAGTGTTAACTTTGAGAAAAAGTTCTGTCATTCAGAAAAGTGTGCGGTCAGGACTCAGCAGGTGGGGGTCCTTGCCACCAACTCTAATGACCTGAGTTCAATTCCTGGACTCACACGAGGGAGGGAGAGAGTTCACTCCCACAAGTTACTCTCCGACCTCAGCACACGTGTCTTTGCACATAGTCACTCCCCAAAACAGAAATGAATAGATGTAACTTTAGGAATGTGATCGTCTTTTTAGCTCTCTTGCATTCATCAATATTTATTTGTTCTAATGAAACAAAACACTTGCTTTAAATGACACTAGTAGCCATCACTTCATTCTGTAATTGTACCTGCTGAATGTTAACCATCTTTAAAGGGAATCGTTTTCATGTAAAACTTTCTTTTTCCTTCTACTGAAAAATAAAATGGGACTGTATCGAGTACTAAAGGGTTGAAAGGCAGGGATGCTCTTGATAGAGGTGAAGTCTAAGACGGGTCTCTTTTTTTATTTGTTACTTAGATGAGAGCACCTGAAAAGAAATGTTTTACACTGGATCTCTCATGGGAAATGAGAGGGTTTTTTTTTTTTTTTTTTTTTTTTTGAATAGAAGTTTACATGCCCGTTGCTGGTCACCTCTTTATCACAAATATTTTAATATTGGAAGAGAGTAGCTTTTGAGCTAGTGAGCTAGCTGTGAAGGTATCCTCCTCTATGGTATCCATTTTGGTTTTGATGTTTCCTTTGTTTGTTTTCTTGGAAATAAATTAATATATTGTTTTCCACCTCCAGGGATAGTGTATGTATTTATTTGATACCTGCTTAACATGTTTGTTCAGTGGTACAGTTCCCCCACCTTTATAAAGGACAAAAGAAATACATTTATGTATGTGTAGTTGTCTAAAATAATGGATCCACTAAAAAAATAAATTGACATTTCCCTTTGTGGGGTGAGGGGAGAGCAATCGAGGGTAATAGAATGAAATAGAAAATTGGTTTTATTTATGTGTTTGTGTATGTAAACTGTCTTTCATAGAACTTTGAGCTTGCCATCTGGGCTGGACTGGCTGGCTAATGAGCCCCTAGAATCCACCCATCTCCACTGCTCCCTAGCATTGGAGTTATAGGCATGCCCCCTTCCTTTCTCCAGCTTATACACGAATGCCGGGGATCCAAACTCAGGTGTTCATGTTTACTGAGCAAGAATTTTACCAGGCAAAAGTCATCCTAAAATTGCCTTTTGTGTTGGTCAGGCTTTCTGTCATTCACTATGATCAAAAACAGTTTAAACACAGGATTTGTTTAGGTTCACAGTATTGGCAAGAGTCAGTCTAGCATGGGTGGCATGGGGGGGCGGGATATGGTAGAGCATCTGGGAAACAGAAGAGGGATTCGGGAGGGAGCCAGAACAAGGTAGAGGTTCCAAAGACACACTCCCAGCAATCCACTTCCTCCAAAGAGTCCTCACCTCCTACACAAAAAGTTGTGCATCTGTTGGGTTACCTGCAAAGACAATTGCTTCCTGCCTGGTAGGCACTGAGCTGATTATTGGAGACGATGGACAAAATCCTTCGTCACAGAACTTTTCACAAGTAAGTTAGTGATTTTTCAGGAACAGTTTGCATCAGGTTGCCTTGCAACAATTGATATCAATTGATCTACCTTTGATATTTGTCACATAAAACAAGTCAGATGTTATCTCTCCTAGTCACCATTAAAAAAAAATAAAAGCAGGTCCTTTCTATTCTAGATGGAGAGAGAAAGCAAAATTATGAAATATACCAATGAAGTTTTTTTGTTTGTTTTTTTGTTTTTGTTTTTTATTGTTGTTGCTTTTTCTAGACAGGGTTTCTCTGTGTGGCTTTTGAGTCTGTCCTGGAACTAGCTCTGTAGTCCAGGCTGGCCTTGAACTCACAGAGATCCTCCTGCCTCTGCCTCCCGAGGGTTAGGACTAAAAAGGCATGGGCCACCAACTGCCAGCACCAATGAAGTTTTAACTGAGAGTGCTACAAAGCCACCAGAACTGTGTGGTGGCACAGGAGCACAGATGGGGGGAGAGAGGAGGTGACTTCAGTAAGATGGGGTCTTCTGAAAAACATGCCTGATGGGATATTTGCATTGCAATTTTGCCATCTGCAGGTGAACACAAACACTAGCTGAACACTACACTAGGAGTTGCTTTTTTTTTTTTTTTTTTTTTTTTTTTTGCCTAGTCTTGGGAAAATCCCAGTCAGCAGTCACAGACCCCCTGGAACATACCTGGTTCCAGAGCTGAGGCAGAGAAGACCTGAGATGAGCCTGGAACAGGAATTCTAAAAGGGTGGCAAACGTGTCACAGGTTCAAGACTTGCCTTGAACTCTCCTACTGCATCAGAATTATAGTGTGACCCAGTAACTAAAATAAAAAACCAAGCATGAATAATACACATATAGCACACAAGTGCAAACACATACAAATGCATGTATAAAATATGCATGTTAATAAAATGTCTAAGAGGCTATTGACTTGAAGTGAGTTCCTGCTCTTGGTTCCAACAATCAACCAACAAGTAAGTCATGGTTCCTTCTTTCACCCAGGGCCAAGCAAACCGATCCTGTGATGGACTAGACAGGAAATGTTTTGGGCTTTGTGAGTCACAGGGTTTCTATTGCAATTATTCACTTCTGCTGTTGGACCCATAGATGATGTATAAACATAGGCCGTGTGCTGATAAAGCTGCCCCTCTACTGTGGCTGGAAACTGATCTGCTCTACACAATCCTTCTCTAATATGTGTCAAGCCCAAAGAGGGTGCAAGTGCATCCTCTCAGGTGTGAATTATGTCTCGGTGGGAATGCCTGAGTGCTCCGCTCACCCACAATCCCCAACCAGGAGGAGAGAGCAGGAAACAATCACACAGAAGGAAGGCTGGCGTCTATACTTTGGTTACGTCTCTAAGGCATGAATAAACCTGTGTGTGCTTTACCCAAGTACGCAAGGAGAGCTGGGAAAAGCAGGCAGGGGAAGAGCCCTAATGGAGTCTGCTTGAGCTGTGCTGGGAAATCTCCCATAGGAAAAAGATGGGAGCTTTAAAACAACACATCTAGCGACCAAGACTGCAGGACAGGGGAAGCGTTAGTATTTCTATCTCTTGAACTGAAGCTGTTGGGAGGCTAAGTATGCGCTGCAACAGCTCGCCAGTCCACGGGCTATTTACTGAGCACTTTGGCTACACATGCAGAATCAATGAATTATACACGTCAGCCAGACATGTAGAGGTACACTCAAATCCCAGAAAACAGACACCAAGAAGGCTGTGAATTTGAGGACTATCTAGGCTATAGAGTAAGACCCTGATGTAGTCCGGGG